AATTGTAAACAGTGACTTGGGGGGAGAAAGGCTTAGAAACTTTGTCAACTAATCTTTATTTAGAATATGTTATAAAGGTTATTGGATGATTTTTGTAATAACTAATGAAATGCCATCAGGTGGGTGGGTTTTTAACTATGGATTATTTTAGGCAAAAGGACACTAAAACAACTTCAGTCAAATGAGAACTATGCTATGTTGATAGTAAGACTCATTAAGAATCTTTGACATTTGTTATGAATATAAGTAATGACTGTGGAAGAGATGCACGGGAGCTAATTGTAACCAACTGTCGCACTTTTTACAAGATGTAATGTAAGATGATGATTTTTTGTGTGTGCTGTTTGTTTAATAAATTTTTTTTTGCAAAAAAAAAAAAAAGTAGAAGATCCCAGACTTTATTTACAAACTCTTGTACCCTAATGACATAAAGCAGGCTATTTAATGAGCATCATAATGTAATTTGTGCCAACTGGAAGGCAGATTCTCTGTAGCAATGTAAACCCCTGCCCACTTGGCGGTTTCCTGCTGGGGCAACGAAGGAACATTTTATTCACATGGTTGTATTTGGCTGTGAATTAACACAGAATGAAAGAGGAAGCATTTACCACGCAGTTGTCTTACAAGGCACGATAACACGCCAATCCAGAAAATGGAAATCCCCTCCTCTCTCCAGAAGCCAAACCCTTGCCAGGAACACAAGCTCCCATTTACCAGACACACATGTCACACGTGAACTCACCTGGCACCTGCTCATTGATGATCAAAGCTGGCTGCATGAGGGGATCAGTCTTCTCATCCATGTTCACTAGAGCAGCGTTCCTGACATTGGTCTCTTCCACAGTTTCACTTTTGCTACGGAGTAAGGCTTCAATATTGGTAACTTTACAGCTAATACCACAGCCGGGCACCACCTGGAAATCAGTGCACGTCCCAAGGGTATCTGCATCCAATTCCTAGAGAAACAAAAGGATCACACAACAAATTCACTTGGGCACAAACAGGACCATCATCTCAAAAAACAGTTCCAAATCGAGACTCCAATAGCACTAGCAATAGCACAGTGCTTTACGGCCATCTCTAAGCAGTTTACAGAGTCAGCAAATTGCCCCCAACAATCTCGGTCCTCTTTTTACCGACCTCGGAAGGATGGGAAAGGCTGAGTCAACCTTGAGCTGGTGAGGCTCAAACGGCCGGCAGTTAGCAGAATTAGCCTGCAATACTGCATTCTAACCACTGCACCACTACGACTCCAATGTGGGAATAAAATACAGTGGTGTTTGAAGCAATAAGCAGCCTTCCCAAATCTGGAGGATGTGAGGAATGAAGACCTCCAAGAGGGATTATCTGCAGGCTATTTTGAATTATGTGCCCCACGTATCTGAATATTTTACTAGCAATACAGATCTGCCCATTTACTTATATTTGAACCCATCTTTTTTCTAAGGAGCAAAAGTAGCATATTTAAATCTCATTTTATTTCCTGCATACTATTATCGCTCCTGTGGAGTGAGTTAGACTAAGAATGAGAAAATGGGAGAATGACTCAAGATCTTCCAGTCCTAACACATCTGAATAGGGTCTGAATTCATTTGCCCCTCCTAGATGGAAGAATAGAGGACAGAGTTCAAATCTGCAATTCCCCTGGACAGGACACTGGCAATGTTTCTGTGTAATGGTGAAGTATCCACTCTGACTTATCTTAGCAGTTATCTGCAATGTACTAGATCTCAGCACCCATACTTTCAGGAGTACAAAAGTGCTATGCCAGCAAGAGGTGATGGGAACTGTTCAACAGGGCATGTTGGTGACGACAATTTCTAACATCTTAAAAGATCCGCGCCAAGTGCAAACTTGTTGGATTGCTAAAGGAGATTGAGGAAGGTTTAGAGAAGGGGTCCCCCACCTCCAGGCCGAACTAGGCCATGCAAGTGGCTGGCTGCAGCGTGCACAGCTCAACTTGTGTGAGTGTGAGCTGGTAGGCACTTGCACATGTGCAGTCTGTTGTTTGTGCGTCCCAGTTCTCCTCTCTACCACCACTCCCCAGCCAGACTGCCAAGCCACAAAGGTTGGGGGACCACTGATTTAGGGGCAAGTCTAACCACTCTGAGTCTCATCCGTGAGAATGAGGAATTCTTTGGCAAGTCTGTATTCAAAATAAAGGCAGCAAAGAAGAAACAACAAGGAAAAATGAAACCCTAAAGGAAGACCAATGGTGGTATGTCACTCAGAGGACAAAAAAACCAACAACCCAGGAAGACTGTCCCCACCACTGGAGTTGAACAATTTCATCTCCTCCCCTGGAAGAAAAGACAGACAGCTGCAGTCGGGGCTTCATCAAGTGCTCCCTAATAGAAGAAAAGTGGCTCAGATCGTCACAAAGACAAAGAGCCCCCCCCCCCCAAGTCCACCAAAGAGAAAAAAGAAGGTGGGACCGATTGGTGACTCCTTCTCAGAGTAATAGAATCAGCAATTTGTAGACCGGACAATCTATATCAAGGATTGTCTCCCAGGTGCAAAGATCAAAGGTATGTCAGAGAAGCTCACTAAAATAATCAAGCCCACTGATTATTATTCCTTTCTCACCTTCCATGTTGGGAAAAATGATACTGCTAAGAGCCTGAAATCAGCATCAAATGAACAATTAGTGTAAGCCACACAAAACATTTGTGCCTGCCCAAAGTTAATTCGGCTTCTCCTTAGGTGCCTCCACTCCAGGTGTTCCTTGTGGGGCGACCACCTTCCCACTAGCCTTGCAGCCCTTCTCTGGGCTTGCCTCAGAGGGGATGTGCAGCCTCTCAACACCACTGCCAATCAGCAGCCAATCCTCCCTGGGTCTGTGAGAGCAGGCAGCTCTCCATCTGGTTGACCAGTTCCCCCAATGCCTGTGGGGCCTGGGATGGCACTATCCTCAGCCCTGGCTTTTCCAGATATGCCAAGAGAGATATCCCCATCAAATACCTCCCAGTTCCAACTCCTCCTCCTCCTCCGAACCAGGCTCGATGGGCCCATGACACTCATCTCTGCAGAGATCAGACTTCTCCCCTCTTTGACACTCTTTTTGAAATCCTGATTTTGCCAACGGGCTCGAGGAACTCAGAGTGGGATGAAGCCCATCTTTGCTAATCAGTTAGCTGACTTGTGCAGAAAACACAACGATAGCAATGGTGGACTTCAGCGTTGAGAAACACAAGGTCCTGCCTAAATGCGCAGGTACAAAATAGGTGGTAACTGGCTCAATAGTAGCAACTGTGAAAGAGATCTAGGTGCCTTAGTGAACCAGCACTTCAGTATGAGCCAGCAAGTTTCTGCAACTACCAAAAAAAACAACAACCCCAATGCAATCTTGAGCTGCAACACAGGGATTACATCAAGATCACGAGAAGTGACAATGCCACTTTATAATGCACAAGTGAGGCTACACTTGAATATTGTATATAGTTCTGGTCACAGTGATACAAAAAAGACACGGAGACCCTACAAAGTGTGCAGAGAAGAGCAATAAAGGCGATAAAGGATTGGAAGGCTAAATCATATGACAAATGGTTGAGGACCTAGGTAGGTACTGTATTTTTCAGAGTATAAAACGCACCAAGATTTTGAAGAGATAAATTAAAAAACAAATGTTTTTGCACTCTGCAGACCTCCCAAGCCCTCTACACCCCTCTTTTTTTGTGAAAAACAGGGTTTGCAGAGAGTTTGAGAGGCCTGCAAAGTGCTCCTGGGGGCTGGAGGGCAAAAATGGGCCAAAAAAGGCCTGTTTTCATTTGTTTTTTCCCTCCGGAGCCCCCAGGAGCACTTTGCAGGCCTTCCAAACCCTCTGCATGTCCATTTTGAGGCAAAAAATGCTGCATCCAGTGTATAAGACACAACCAGAATTTAACCCTCTTTTGGGGGGGGGGGAAGGTGCGTCTTATACTCTGAAAAATATGGTGTCTAGCATATCAAAGGGAAGGATTAGGTGGGACAGGATAATTGTCTTCCAGTACTTGAGGGGCTTCTGACAGAGAAGAAGAGGGTGACCAATTCTCCAAAGGGCCAGAGGGCAGGACAAGAAGGAATGGGTAGAAGATCATTACAAAGAGAGCCAACCTGGAACTAAGGAGACATTTTTCTGACAGTGAGAACAATTAATCAATAGAATACATGATTCCCAGAATTGTGAGTGTTCCATCACTGGAGGTTTTCAAAAACAGACTGGGCAACCATTTGACCCAGATGATATCAAGTCTCCTGCCTTGAGCAGGGAGTTGGACAAGAAGACCTCCAAGTTCCCTTCCAGCCCTCTGAGTCTATGTTCTGCGGTCTGCTCTTCTACCTGTTTGCAGTACTTTGTGATTGCTGCTCCTAAAGGGTGCTCACTGTGGCTCTCCGCGGTTCCCATCAGTGCCAAGACTTTCATGCGGGGTATCCGGTTACTCTCCACTAGCATCTTCATCTGCATCACCACTGGAGTTCCATGGGTGATGGTTCCTGTTTTATCAAACATCACAACTTTAACCTGCAAAACACCCATATGTCCATAGAACTTTAGAGTTGTAAACAACAGCAAATAGTTTGGAAGGGGAGGGGGGATTCATAGCATTCTTCGACAAAGGTAAGATATGAGATCTTTTTGCCTCTGCCACTCAACCAAAAAGGACATTCCATTTTCTACCTTGTGTGCCATCTCCAGCGGTTCTCCGCCTTTGATCAAGATGCCGTTTTGTGCTCCTACGCCAGTTCCCACCATCACAGCGGTTGGAGTGGCTAATCCCAAGGAACAAGGGCAGGCGATACACAGCACGGTGATGGAAGCTTGAAAAGCAAAGCGGATCACGACCTCTGCTTTGGAAATGCTCTTATTATAGCCCTGTTGGCACACACAGAGAGAGGACTGAATGGACACTTGTTTTAAAGAAAGTCACAGTTTGATGAGGTCATGCGCTGCCCTAAACATGGTTTCTTTGGTTTCAAATTAATACAATAAGGAAACTCATCAGTTGCGGCATATAAAATAGAGTGTATAGTTTATCATTTTGCATTAACCCAGCCATAACTGTAATTTATTCAATTGACCACAGATTTGTGTGAAGTGTAAATCTAGTCATCTTGGTTTTGGATATCATCTGTGTATGTGAGAAAGAGTGCAGTTCTTGCCATGGGAAGGAGGTAAAAGGTTATGAAACAGTAAAGGGAGAAGTAACAGCAACACAGAAAGAGGAAAGTGTGGGAAATGAACTCAAAATAACTCTGCTTCGATTATGTCCAGTAGAAGATGTGGCAGAGGACAATTCCGATAGATTTTCAAGACCAATGTGGAAGAGGCACTAAACTATCCGGCTAGAGTCAAATGTCAGCAAAAAGAAATATTCAAGGAATACATTTCAACCTTCTGCTGTAACTTCCAATGACTGCATAAAGGAGGGTACAATACTAAGCATTTCACTAATCACAATGAATACAAGTAACGTTGTGATCCAACATTAAAAAATATTACAGAAAGTGTGAAGTTGCACTGCCTTTGTACATAATTTATTCTTCGTTAAGCTGGTGATCAACTGATGGTCAAAATGGACCTTTCCCACTCTGAGATCTATAAAATAAGAATTCCTTTGTGCAAGCACGGATCATTTTCTTCTTGAGAAAGATGCCTTTTAAGCGTGGCATCATCCAGTCACATTTTCAGGGATCTTTATTAGCAATTATTAGCATTTAGAATAGAATCATAAATCCCATTTAAATATTGGGAAAAAATCAGGAAAAATGTAAATGTAATGCAGACAAAGCAACATTTTAAAAAGACCACTTTATGAAGCCATGCATCTGAATCGTATTTCCTTTTTTTTCCTATTTAAATTCAAATTAATCTATCATACCTAATATAGGGAATATGAACGATAGTCAAGAGAGGAAACCTTTTGGTTAATCAGATTTTGCAGGTGATTTCTTTACAAAAATTAAAAACAAAAGGAAAGAAACTTACAAGAAAATAGGTTTCTACCAGTTGAAAATTAACAAAGCCAATCACAATCCACGCAAAAAGTGTAATCACAGAAACGCCAACAATGAAAGGAACAAAATAGCCGCTCAGTTTATCAGCAAACTGCTGAATTGGTGCCTAAAGCAAGGGAAGGAGAGAAAAAGAAGCAACATTAATTCTAGAAGTCTTTTTTGAGGCTGAGCTGGTTTGGGTTTTAGCCTGCAGATTTGTAATAAATAGTATACATGATTTTTAGTGGGAAAAGGTATTTAACTCATACTTTGCTGATGCTATAATTATTGGCACGGCCAAAAAAAAGGAGAAACAGAATTTTGCTGAAATCTCACTGCATAGACCAGTTTGGCATATTACATAACCATATACTGCAGCTAACTTTATTTTATTTTATTTTAAAAATAGATTTTATTAAACATTTTCAAGTTAAAAAAGAACAAGAAAAAACAAATACAAAATGGATTAAAAACACAAACAACATAACAATATACTTTTACAGCTTTCTGTATCAGCAAATATTTCTGCTTTTGTGGTTTACAATTCTATTATTGCCTTCTCGTAGTTTTTAGCAATTCTAATGATAATGTGATGATTATATTATAATATAGTAGTATACGACTGCAACTAACTTTAAGCTACCAACTTGCTGTCTACAATCAAGGCCATCGGACAGGAGAGAAACCTAAATGTGTTGGTCTAATTACCTTTGATGTTTGAGCTTCTTCCACAAGCTTTACGATCTGGCAGAGGGTAGTGTCAGACCCAACATGGGTTGCCGAGATCAACAGGGATCCATTCTGATTAATCGAACCTGCTATGACTGAACTTCCAGGTTTTTTCATCACAGGCATTGCTTCACCTACATAGATCAGAAACAAAACAAAATAGAAGCTGCTCTTTGACAATTTCCCTCCCCCCAGCATGGAGTCTAGGGCCCATGAAAACCCATTCTGAGGGCAACAATGGAAAGGAAGAAGGATGAGGAGGGAAAGGAAAAAAGGGTAAAACCAGAGGAAGTAAGGGGGGCAGAATTAAGAGTAGGAGAGGGAAATATTGGAATGTGCAGAGATGGGTAGGCTCATGAAAGAATTAAAAGAGAAAGAAGAATCTGACTATTACTCCGTATGGGATTTATGATATAATTGGCTAAAGGAAAAGGGGGGGGGGAGCAGGAAAGCAAAAAAGAAAGAAAGATCAGCAAATTAAAAAAACAACTACAAAACCAGAAAATGATTAAAAGATAGAAATACAAAATAGACTGTAGCAAATAAATAATAGGAAATGGATGCAAAACAATTCAAATGTAATAAAGTTTATTATACATGGAATATATAGAATGTTATATATAGAATGAAGAAAAAAGATGTATGAAATAATATAAATGCACACATATATAAAGTTATAGCTATACAAGACTTATATGTACCGTGTTTTCCTGAAAATTAGACAGGGTCTTATTTTCTTTTGACCCTTGAAATAAGCACTTGGCCTTATTTTCAGGGAGGCCTTGTTATTTTTGAGGTGCAGGAGGCAGTGAGCGTGGTCACCTCATAGCTGCTGCTGTGTTGCAATATTTTCAGGGAGGGCTTATTTTCAGGGGAGGGCTTATTTTTGCACATGCACTCAAAAGTCCAATTGGGCTTATTATCAGGGGAGGTCTTATTTTGGGGAAAACAGGGTACAGATAAAAGAATCACAACAGATATGTAAAAAAAGTGTAATGTGTTGCAAAGATGTGAAGTTTGCATAAACAAAATAAAAAGTTTTTTTTTTAAAAGAGTAGGAGAGAGAGTAAGGAGGAGGAGAAGAGAGGGGGAGAGCGGGAAAGAGAAGGGAAGAAGACAGGAGGAAGGAGAAGAAAAAAGAAGAAGACAGAGAAGGGAGGTTGAGAAGAGAGAAGGAGCAAGGTTGTTGCAAAATAAGATGGAGGCATGGGGTGGCAAAAAAGTGACCCAAACTGTACTCATTTGTAAGAAAATAACAATAACAATTAACGATGAATAGATAAATGTTAAAAGTAATTATAAGAGTGTATATTTGTGAATGAATTTGAAAGAGAAAAATAAAAAACTTTCTAAAAGAAAAAAGAAATCCCATTCCGGCTTGCCTGTGATGAGCGATTCGTCTACCATTGAGTGTCCTTCAATCACTCGGCCATCCACGGGAAACTTGCCACCTGGAACCACCTTCACGATGTCACCCCGCTGAACTAGTTCAACGTCCACTTGCTCTTCGCTGCAGAAGAAGCCAGAACATTCAAGACTCAACGATGGAAGCTACGTAGCAGTTCAGATTGTTAAATCCTGCACAACAGAATGCCCTTTTCTTTTAAACTCCTGTCCAAAGTCTTCTTCATCTGCAGGAGGTTGGAGTAATGTAAAGAAATCCCCAGCTGAAATTTGTTTTGGGTAGCTTATATATGCAAATTCATGTCAGATTGCTACTCTTGTCTCATTTACAAAGATTTATAATTGACACTGAACTGCATAGGCCGAATGTTACCTGGTCCAATATGGAAGTAAAGACTCCAAGGAAATATCAGGGGACGAAGCACTGCAGCATATAAATATTTCATTAAAAAGCCACCAGAGAACTGGAAATACCTCACGAGGATGTTATCTGGACCTAAAGTAACAATCGTTGCTTCTGTTGCTTGTAGTGAAATTAGCTTCGCGAGGGCCTCTGATGTTTTACCCTAAAAAGATTAAAAAGTGTTTTATGTTCAAAGCACCACAGAAATGCATTGCCAGCATCAAAATCACAGGTTAAGGAAGAGGTCTTTAACCATGAGAGTTTCCTCACAAGCTAGCAAGGAAAAAGAAAATCTAAGTTCCAAGGAAGGAATAATCTTTCCTTTCATTCAGCATTTGTTTTTAGAAGTGTGACATTTGTTTGAAATACATTTGCTTATTAACCGTTTGTAAAGCCAGACACTGATAGATTTAAAAAAACCTTTCATTAACGTGTAGGCCTCCAGGCTGAGCAAATTTGAGGGCTAAAGTTCCTGAGAAGGGGGCACCCAAGAGATGGCCAGATCCCTCACCTCCCTACTCTTCCCCCGTTTTCCTTCACTTGCTGCTTGATGGAAGCCCAATTGGGAGTCGCTTGAATGCACACAAATGCCACTCAGCTCCCTTCCAGGCCTTCTTCAAGAAGGCTGAAAGGCTGCAAGAGAGGGAGGCAGCCAGCTTTGTGGTGTGTGTGTGTGTGTGTGTGTGTGTGTAAACCTGCCATCCTGGGACCAACATTTGGGAAGCCAGGCTCTGCTGTCACAAGCCAGGACAAAGGGTGAGTGATGGAGGAGTAACACCTCCTTAAAAAACCTTGGTCCAGCTGGCTTGGCCAGTAGCACCTCCTAAGGACCCCTTTCCAGGGTTACAAGAGAAGACGGTCAATGCTTTTGAAGGTGGAAGGATTTTGTGCCCCAATGGCAGACAAAGCGGCAGAGCCATCTTCTAGGAGAAGGGAAACTCTGATGACAAACCTCCACTGCCTTGTGGCTCTATCAACTACTAGAAAAGGCTTCAGGAGTCAACCTTGATGCAAAATCCAGAGCCGGAGTCCCGAAAGCAGTTCGTGACTGCGTACAACCACATTCTGGTACCTCCTGCGATGCAACTAGAACCAATTGTATTGGCTCTGCCGTTCCATTGGACTATGTCAGCGATGTGGAAAGGGGGGGATCTGCTGCTTAAGTAACAATTTATCGTCCACATTAATCTACCCAGGTCTCGTGCTCTGGAGAGGACACTTCAGCTTTGACCTCTTCCCAGAGCATGATTCCATAGTCTTTTGAGACAGAAGGATGCCACTGCAATGCATGTGTGTATGTGTAGTACTATATTATTGTTACATATATTCTCGTCAATTGAAACATATGTTTTTAATAACACCCATTTTGTAGTTAAACACAAGTAGGTACAGAGCATGGCAGGTAACTTGAAAGCAGTTTCCCTCCACCGTCACCACCACCCTGAACCAGAACTCTTTTGCCCTGACCTTTGCCACATGTTCCAACCAGCGCCCCAATGCAATAAACACGAAGAGCATTGGTGGTGTGTCAAAAAAAGTCACTGGATTGACCACTGCCTGCTCGGCCATTGCAACCAGAAGAACTACAAAGGAGTAGACAAAGGCGATGGTCGTGGCCAGAACAATCAGCACGTCCATGTTGGCTGTTTTATGCTTCAGCGCTTTGTAGGCTTGAATGTAGAAGTGCCAGCCTCCGAAGAACTGCAAGAAGAGCAAATGTCAGCAGCACATCTACACCGAAACACAGAAAACAGGGAGCAAAACGCTCGCTCACTGCCAAATTTCAGGAGAAAATTCACAGGAGTTTCCCCCTTAGCATGGGCATCTCAAGAAGACAACCTCCCATCTCCCCTGGATTTGGCAGGCAAGCAGCAGGTTCCCAAGGGGCATCCAACAGAGCAACTAGGGAGTTCTAGGGAAACCTCTTCTTGTGCGGCTGCTCTGCCTCACTAGCAAAATTCAACAGGGTCTTCCTTATTCTCCATCTGCTCCTTGCTTCTTCCATCCTTTCCTTTACTTCCCCCCCACCCCAAGTTTGGTTTCGGAAGAAATTCAGAATAATTGTGAAATGCATTTTGTTTAGTGGTGCTAGAGGTATTTCACCAGGAAGAAAAGTCTCCCACTGAATGCCAAGGGAAAATGATACTGAAAATAACAAAACATTTGGACAGAAATGCTCAAAATAAAAACATTACTCTTGACTTTCTTCCAAAAGAATAGAAAAGAAAAACTATTTCAATAAATGAACCTCTAGGTTAGTCTTGTGGGGGGAGCAGTGAAAGAGTAGAGTCAAGTGTTAACTGTAAAGGACGATGACTACTGGACACTTGGCACTTTCTGGTGACAATCTACACAATCACATGCTCTACCTAAGCACTAAAGAGGTACTCTGAATTTTACTCTCCCAAAGAGACTTAATCAGTGTTTCACAATTACCATATTTTTTGGAGTATAAGACGCATCAGTGTATAAGATCCACCAAGATTTTGAAGAGGCAAATTAAAAAAAAGTTTTTGCACTCTGCAGACCTCCCCAAAACGGCACATTTTTTGTCAAAGAAAGGGCATACATAGCCTTTAGGAGGCTTATAGAGTGCTCCTGGGGGCTGGGGCAGGGGGAAAAACAAGAAAAAAAATGGCCCATTTTTTACTCATTTTTGCCCTCCCCAGCTCCCAGGGGCACTCTGGAAGCCGCCTAAAGGCTATGTACGGCCATTTTTGCAAAGGGGGCGGGGTTTGGGGGGGGGAATGCTGTAGTCAGTATATAAGACACACCCAGATTTTCATCCTCTTTTTTGAGGGAAAAAGGTGCCATCTGAAGGACTGCCACCTCTTTCTACTTGCCTGAACAGGAACACACAATAAAAAGGAGAGCAAATTCATAATGGACAACCCAGGAAGAATCTGCTGCTCCAGGAACATGGACGGGTGGTTGTCTTCTATGTCTTCTTGAGTCATGTTAGAAGCCGCTGACATGTGACTGTCCATCACCATCATGTAAATCATGAGCCCCATTACAGGGATGCAGAAAAGGAGGCTTACAAGGAAGGACCGTTTCCACCTAAATAATAAGCGGACAAGATAATATGGAATAAACCATCAAAACTTAAGAAGTTAGGTAAAATTTCAAAAGATAGTATATAGTTAGGGGGGGGGGAATAATGTTTTAGGAAACATGTGTAAAGCTACAACTAAACAGCAAAAAGGACTTACTGCCTTATTTCCTGCTTGTGGTCTAAGTGGCTAGCAGATCGGTCTTTCTTTACCAAAGTAGCATTAAATCCTAGATTCTGGAAAGAGACATAATGTGAATATGCACATTTCCACACAGATCTTAGCTAAAAATCAATAAGACATACCCAACCAGCAAAAGGAAACTGACCCTTCATCAGAGTTGCTTTAAAAGTTTAGACACTTCTGCATATTATTAAACATTGTCCAAAAACCAGTTGCTTTAGAATGAATGTTCTAAATTAACAACAATAGAACTCTGACAACAGCTAAGAGCTTGAACAACAGATACAAGAAATAAGAAAATATAATGGGGTGCGGGTTGGGGAGAATAAGAACATAAACCAAACTGAGAGAACCTAAGTTTCAGTCCTAAACCTAGCATTTTGTTATAGTCACGTAGTGGGATCAGAAAATTCCAACTTCAAAGCAGCTTCCATATTCCTCTACTTAGTTACAGTGACTTTTATGGGGAAAAAATAAATCTATATAATAAAATAATAAAACAAAACAAAATTATATATATATACAAAACAAGCTCACAAACAGAGAAACTGTACTGGCAAAATACTTACCTGTATAATCTGTATAATATCTCGAGGGCCAATGATCTCCAGATCATACTTAACATGGGCTTTGTTGGTTGCCAGAGCCACTGAGCTGTACAAAACCCCTTTGGTTTTCATAAGGGTCGATTCTATTTTATGAACACACGAGGCACAAGTCATCCCTCTTACCTGTGTGAGAAAAAAAAATTGTTTGCAGAATATTGTTTCTTAAAGAATAATTTTGCCTGAGTGATGAATAATGAATCGGAGAATAACATGATGAAAGGTGATGGAATTCCCCCCCCAAAAAACCTCTAATCTTAGCTCAAGATTTGGGCTAGCTTACTGCTTTTGTTATGCTTCTGTAATTGTTCTGCTTTCAAACTGCTAAATAGAATTACAGTTGGCTTAGTGGTTAAGGGATCAGGTTAGAAACCAGGAGACTGTGAGTTCTAGTCCTGTCTTATCTATGAAAGCCATCTGGGCGACTTGGGCCAGTCACATTCTCTCAATCTTACTCACCTCACAGGGTGTTGTAGTGGGGACAACAGGCAGAGGAAAGTATGTGGAATATGCTTGCTGCCTTGAATTTGTTTGAAAAAATAATGAAAGGCAAGAAACTAGCAAAACAAACAAACAAATCACTCCTTCTACTCCTGCAGAATGGAAACAACGCACAGATAGATAAATAGATATGATTAAGATTTTTTAACAGTCCACCAAAGAGTAAAAACTCTGGAGGAGTTGGGAAAATCTGTGTTTGCTCTGCATCTCAACACCCACCCATTCTGTCAGCTAGCAGTTGTGTTTCCCAGTCTACATACAGCCCTATCCTGCAAAGTGCATTCTTTGCCTTCCTGACCAACAGGGGAAAAACTGCTATGGACATTGAGAAAAAAGCAAACAAATAAAAATATACAAAAGCCCATCTGTTTGAGGAAAGCAGAGGGGGGGGGGAGTGGAATCTCACTAAGACTAGAAACTTGGAAACAGCAACAGAAACATGCCCAAACTTTTTGGTACATAGGCAAAAATAGACACAGCAGCAAAATGAAATGGGTTTTAATTATAATTTTGAGAGGAAGGATTGCTACATTGAAGGACACTCCACCTAAACATGTTTAGACAGGCAAAGTTCCCCTAAAGAAGAGCAAGAAGGTGGAGTTGGAGGGCTGGCGCTGCCACTTCAATGTGGTCTCACTTAGATATACCGTATTTTTTGGACTATAAGACGCACCGGTGTATAAGACGCACCAAGATTTCAAAGAGGTAAGTAAGAAAAAAAAGCACTCTGCAAGGTTCAGCAGGGCTGGGGGAAGGCAAAAACGCCAGTTTTTCACAAAAATGGGCAGAAAGCAGGATGTGGGGCTTTGGGAGGCAAAAAATAGCCGTATTTGGTGTATAAGACGCACCAACATTTCCATGCTCTTTCAGGGTGGAAAAAGGGTCTTATATTCCTAAAAATATGGTAACACCAGCAGGACTTCCAAGTTTTTCAGAAGCCCTGATATACTGCAGTTACCCAAGTGCTTCCATCCTTTCCATACGTGCTATGAAATACTGCCAAATGCATTATTTGTTGATAGTGAAACAATGTGCTTACAATCAGCTCCAAGACGCCATCTCCTTCATCATAATCCTCCAGCACAGTAGCACCAAACCCCAGTTCTCTAATCCTCTCTGCTATAGTCGGGGGCTGGATGACGGAAGGGTCGTATCTCACTTCAGCCTTCCCAGCCATCAGAGCAACGAGCACAGAGCATATTCCTAGAAAGAAGGAATCACACTTAGCAACATTTAGGGCAGGGGTGTCCAACTTGGGAACTTTAAGACTTGTGGACTTCAACTCCCAGAATTCCCCAGCCAGCTGACTGGGGAATTCTGGGAGTTGAAGTCCACAAGTCTTAAAGTTCCCATGTTTGGACACCCCTGGTTTAGGGGAAAACATAATCAGTATACTGTCCTGAACACACACACCATGCTGGTATTTTTGTCAGTGTAAAACGGATTTTCTTGGGACATCTCATGGCCCAGGTCCAGAGGCGTGGTGCTGCTGTTCCCCAAAACCTTGATTTGTGGGACTCCTTTCAAAAGTGATTCCTTTTATTCTCCAAAAATATGGAAAATGAAATTTGAAAAACTCTTAGCACAGTAAAAATGCCAAAGTCTGTTCAGAGTATCCTGCATTAGTCACAACCTTCAGGGGAAAAAAGGGTGATTTGCGGTGGTCCAAGTGAATCAGGTAAGATCCCCCACCCAAAGATCAAATGTTAAAACCTGCATGGGGAGTGGAGGGGGTGGGGGGAGAAGGACACACTTCTTCTTGTACCACACGGACCTCTGCCTCATCCTTGAGCAGGAGCTCAAATCAGAACAGCTCTCCTTCTTCCTTCACCTGAGATCTGGTCAACCTCAGGCATAAACTCTGTGACCGCAAAGGTTAATCAGCCTTATGGAAAGGTTTCTTACCATCTTCCCTCTTCAGGTTCCTCTCAATGTTTGCCACGCAAGAAGCGCAGGTCATGCCAGTGATCTGAATGTAGCATTTGGATGGTGCCTTCAAGCCCAATCTATTTGGAGCTGGCGACAGGTTGGCATGAGCGACTGTTTTGGGCAGCTTGCTTTCTTGAGTTCTAGCCAGCCTTTCCTGGGAAGGCTGAGTGATGAGCACCATGGGATCTGGACTTGGCGGCCCTGGCAGGCAGAAAATTATCATCAGAAAACAATGTCCCAGAGCTCTTCAATTACTGTATTTTTCGGACTATAAGACACACCATGATTTTGAAGAGGTAAATTTTTTNTGATTTTGTAATAATTAATGAAATACCATCAGGTGGTTGTGTTTTTAACTATTGATTATTTTAGGCAAAAGGACACTAAAACAACTTCAGTCAAATGAGAACTATGCTATGTTGATAGTAAGACTCATTAAGAATCTTTGACATTTGTTATGAATATAAGTAATGACTGTGGAAGAGATGCACGGGAGCTAATTGTAACCAACTGTCGCACTTTTTACAAGATGTAATGTAAGATGATGATTTTTTGTGTGTGCTGTTTGTTTAATAAATTTTTTTTTGCAAAAAAAAAAAAAAGTAGAAGATCCCAGACTTTATTTACAAACTCTTGTACCCTAATGACATAAAGCAGGCTATTTAATGAGCATCATAATGTAATTTGTGCCAACTGGAAGGCAGATTCTCTGTAGCAATGTAAACCCCTGCCCACTTGGCGGTTTCCTGCTGGGGCAACGAAGGAACATTTTATTCACATGGTTGTATTTGGCTGTGAATTAACACAGAATGAAAGAGGAAGCATTTACCACGCAGTTGTCTTACAAGGCACGATAACACGCCAATCCAGAAAATGGAAATCCCCTCCTCTCTCCAGAAGCCAAACCCTTGCCAGGAACACAAGCTCCCATTTACCAGACACACATGTCACACGTGAACTCACCTGGCACCTGCTCATTGATGATCAAAGCTGGCTGCATGAGGGGATCAGTCTTCTCATCCATGTTCACTAGAGCAGCGTTCCTGACATTGGTCTCTTCCACAGTTTCACTTTTGCTACGGAGTAAGGCTTCAATATTGGTAACTTTACAGCTAATACCACAGCCGGGCACCACCTGGAAATCAGTGCACGTCCCAAGGGTATCTGCATCCAATTCCTAGAGAAACAAAAGGATCACACAACAAATTCACTTGGGCACAAACAGGACCATCATCTCAAAAAACAGTTCCAAATCGAGACTCCAATAGCACTAGCAATAGCACAGTGCTTTACGGCCATCTCTAAGCAGTTTACAGAGTCAGCAAATTGCCCCCAACAATCTCGGTCCTCTTTTTACCGACCTCGGAAGGATGGGAAAGGCTGAGTCAACCTTGAGCTGGTGAGGCTCAAACGGCCGGCAGTTAGCAGAATTAGCCTGCAATACTGCATTCTAACCACTGCACCACTACGACTCCAATGTGGGAATAAAATACAGTGGTGTTTGAAGCAATAAGCAGCCTTCCCAAATCTGGAGGATGTGAGGAATGAAGACCTCCAAGAGGGATTATCTGCAGGCTATTTTGAATTATGTGCCCCACGTATCTGAATATTTTACTAGCAATACAGATCTGCCCATTTACTTATATTTGAACCCATCTTTTTTCTAAGGAGCAAAAGTAGCATATTTAAATCTCATTTTATTTCCTGCATACTATTATCGCTCCTGTGGAGTGAGTTAGACTAAGAATGAGAAAATGGGAGAATGACTCAAGATCTTCCAGTCCTAACACATCTGAATAGGGTCTGAATTCATTTGCCCCTCCTAGATGGAAGAATAGAGGACAGAGTTCAAATCTGCAATTCCCCTGGACAGGACACTGGCAATGTTTCTGTGTAATGGTGAAGTATCCACTCTGACTTATCTTAGCAGTTATCTGCAATGTACTAGATCTCAGCACCCATACTTTCAGGAGTACAAAAGTGCTATGCCAGCAAGAGGTGATGGGAACTGTTCAACAGGGCATGTTGGTGACGACAATTTCTAACATCTTAAAAGATCCGCGCCAAGTGCAAACTTGTTGGATTGCTAAAGGAGATTGAGGAAGGTTTAGAGAAGGGGTCCCCCACCTCCAGGCCGAACTAGGCCATGCAAGTGGCTGGCTGCAGCGTGCACAGCTCAACTTGTGTGAGTGTGAGCTGGTAGGCACTTGCACATGTGCAGTCTGTTGTTTGTGCGTCCCAGTTCTCCTCTCTACCACCACTCCCCAGCCAGACTGCCAAGCCACAAAGGTTGGGGGACCACTGATTTAGGGGCAAGTCTAACCACTCTGAGTCTCATCCGTGAGAATGAGGAATTCTTTGGCAAGTCTGTATTCAAAATAAAGGCAGCAAAGAAGAAACAACAAGGAAAAATGAAACCCTAAAGGAAGACCAATGGTGGTATGTCACTCAGAGGACAAAAAAACCAACAACCCAGGAAGACTGTCCCCACCACTGGAGTTGAACAATTTCATCTCCTCCCCTGGAAGAAAAGACAGACAGCTGCAGTCGGGGCTTCATCAAGTGCTCCCTAATAGAAGAAAAGTGGCTCAGATCGTCACAAAGACAAAGAGCCCCCCCCCCCCAAGTCCACCAAAGAGAAAAAAGAAGGTGGGACCGATTGGTGACTCCTTCTCAGAGTAATAGAATCAGCAATTTGTAGACCGGACAATCTATATCAAGGATTGTCTCCCAGGTGCAAAGATCAAAGGTATGTCAGAGAAGCTCACTAAAATAATCAAGCCCACTGATTATTATTCCTTTCTCACCTTCCATGTTGGGAAAAATGATACTGCTAAGAGCCTGAAATCAGCATCAAATGAACAATTAGTGTAAGCCACACAAAACATTTGTGCCTGCCCAAAGTTAATTCGGCTTCTCCTTAGGTGCCTCCACTCCAGGTGTTCCTTGTGGGGCGACCACCTTCCCACTAGCCTTGCAGCCCTTCTCTGGGCTTGCCTCAGAGGGGATGTGCAGCCTCTCAACACCACTGCCAATCAGCAGCCAATCCTCCCTGGGTCTGTGAGAGCAGGCAGCTCTCCATCTGGTTGACCAGTTCCCCCAATGCCTGTGGGGCCTGGGATGGCACTATCCTCAGCCCTGGCTTTTCCAGATATGCCAAGAGAGATATCCCCATCAAATACCTCCCAGTTCCAACTCCTCCTCCTCCTCCGAACCAGGCTCGATGGGCCCATGACACTCATCTCTGCAGAGATCAGACTTCTCCCCTCTTTGACACTCTTTTTGAAATCCTGATTTTGCCAACGGGCTCGAGGAACTCAGAGTGGGATGAAGCCCATCTTTGCTAATCAGTTAGCTGACTTGTGCAGAAAACACAACGATAGCAATGGTGGACTTCAGCGTTGAGAAACACAAGGTCCTGCCTAAATGCGCAGGTACAAAATAGGTGGTAACTGGCTCAATAGTAGCAACTGTGAAAGAGATCTAGGTGCCTTAGTGAACCAGCACTTCAGTATGAGCCAGCAAGTTTCTGCAACTACCAAAAAAAACAACAACCCCAATGCAATCTTGAGCTGCAACACAGGGATTACATCAAGATCACGAGAAGTGACAATGCCACTTTATAATGCACAAGTGAGGCTACACTTGAATATTGTATATAGTTCTGGTCACAGTGATACAAAAAAGACACGGAGACCCTACAAAGTGTGCAGAGAAGAGCAATAAAGGCGATAAAGGATTGGAAGGCTAAATCATATGACAAATGGTTGAGGACCTAGGTAGGTACTGTATTTTTCAGAGTATAAAACGCACCAAGATTTTGAAGAGATAAATTAAAAAACAAATGTTTTTGCACTCTGCAGACCTCCCAAGCCCTCTACACCCCTCTTTTTTTGTGAAAAACAGGGTTTGCAGAGAGTTTGAGAGGCCTGCAAAGTGCTCCTGGGGGCTGGAGGGCAAAAATGGGCCAAAAAAGGCCTGTTTTCATTTGTTTTTTCCCTCCGGAGCCCCCAGGAGCACTTTGCAGGCCTTCCAAACCCTCTGCATGTCCATTTTGAGGCAAAAAATGCTGCATCCAGTGTATAAGACACAACCAGAATTTAACCCTCTTTTGGGGGGGGGGGAAGGTGCGTCTTATACTCTGAAAAATATGGTGTCTAGCATATCAAAGGGAAGGATTAGGTGGGACAGGATAATTGTCTTCCAGTACTTGAGGGGCTTCTGACAGAGAAGAAGAGGGTGACCAATTCTCCAAAGGGCCAGAGGGCAGGACAAGAAGGAATGGGTAGAAGATCATTACAAAGAGAGCCAACCTGGAACTAAGGAGACATTTTTCTGACAGTGAGAACAATTAATCAATAGAATACATGATTCCCAGAATTGTGAGTGTTCCATCACTGGAGGTTTTCAAAAACAGACTGGGCAACCATTTGACCCAGATGATATCAAGTCTCCTGCCTTGAGCAGGGAGTTGGACAAGAAGACCTCCAAGTTCCCTTCCAGCCCTCTGAGTCTATGTTCTGCGGTCTGCTCTTCTACCTGTTTGCAGTACTTTGTGATTGCTGCTCCTAAAGGGTGCTCACTGTGGCTCTCCGCGGTTCCCATCAGTGCCAAGACTTTCATGCGGGGTATCCGGTTACTCTCCACTAGCATCTTCATCTGCATCACCACTGGAGTTCCATGGGTGATGGTTCCTGTTTTATCAAACATCACAACTTTAACCTGCAAAACACCCATATGTCCATAGAACTTTAGAGTTGTAAACAACAGCAAATAGTTTGGAAGGGGAGGGGGGATTCATAGCATTCTTCGACAAAGGTAAGATATGAGATCTTTTTGCCTCTGCCACTCAACCAAAAAGGACATTCCATTTTCTACCTTGTGTGCCATCTCCAGCGGTTCTCCGCCTTTGATCAAGATGCCGTTTTGTGCTCCTACGCCAGTTCCCACCATCACAGCGGTTGGAGTGGCTAATCCCAAGGAACAAGGGCAGGCGATACACAGCACGGTGATGGAAGCTTGAAAAGCAAAGCGGATCACGACCTCTGCTTTGGAAATGTTCTTATTATAGCCCTGTTGGCACACACAGAGAGAGGACTGAATGGACACTTGTTTTAAAGAAAGTCACAGTTTGATGAGGTCATGCGCTGCCCTAAACATGGTTTCTTTGGTTTCAAATTAATACAATAAGGAAACTCATCAGTTGCGGCATATAAAATAGAGTGTATAGTTTATCATTTTGCATTAACCCAGCCATAACTGTAATTTATTCAATTGACCACAGATTTGTGTGAAGTGTAAATCTAGTCATCTTGGTTTTGGATATCATCTGTGTATGTGAGAAAGAGTGCAGTTCTTGCCATGGGAAGGAGGTAAAAGGTTATGAAACAGTAAAGGGAGAAGTAACAGCAACACAGAAAGAGGAAAGTGTGGGAAATGAACTCAAAATAACTCTGCTTCGATTATGTCCAGTAGAAGATGTGGCAGAGGACAATTCCGATAGATTTTCAAGACCAATGTGGAAGAGGCACTAAACTATCCGGCTAGAGTCAAATGTCAGCAAAAAGAAATATTCAAGGAATACATTTCAACCTTCTGCTGTAACTTCCAATGACTGCATAAAGGAGGGTACAATACTAAGCATTTCACTAATCACAATGAATACAAGTAACGTTGTGATCCAACATTAAAAAATATTACAGAAAGTGTGAAGTTGCACTGCCTTTGTACATAATTTATTCTTCGTTAAGCTGGTGATCAACTGATGGTCAAAATGGACCTTTCCCACTCTGAGATCTATAAAATAAGAATTCCTTTGTGCAAGCACGGATCATTTTCTTCTTGAGAAAGATGCCTTTTAAGCGTGGCATCATCCAGTCACATTTTCAGGGATCTTTATTAGCAATTATTAGCATTTAGAATAGAATCATAAATCCCATTTAAATATTGGGAAAAAATCAGGAAAAATGTAAATGTAATGCAGACAAAGCAACATTTTAAAAAGACCACTTTATGAAGCCATGCATCTGAATCGTATTTCCTTTTTTTTCCTATTTAAATTCAAATTAATCTATCATACCTAATATAGGGAATATGAACGATAGTCAAGAGAGGAAACCTTTTGGTTAATCAGATTTTGCAGGTGATTTCTTTACAAAAATTAAAAACAAAAGGAAAGAAACTTACAAGAAAATAGGTTTCTACCAGTTGAAAATTAACAAAGCCAATCACAATCCACGCAAAAAGTGTAATCACAGAAACGCCAACAATGAAAGGAACAAAATAGCCGCTCAGTTTATCAGCAAACTGCTGAATTGGTGCCTAAAGCAAGGGAAGGAGAGAAAAAGAAGCAACATTAATTCTAGAAGTCTTTTTTGAGGCTGAGCTGGTTTGGGTTTTAGCCTGCAGATTTGTAATAAATAGTATACATGATTTTTAGTGGGAAAAGGTATTTAACTCATACTTTGCTGATGCTATAATTATTGGCACGGCCAAAAAAAAGGAGAAACAGAATTTTGCTGAAATCTCACTGCATAGACCAGTTTGGCATATTACATAACCATATACTGCAGCTAACTTTATTTTATTTTATTTTAAAAATAGATTTTATTAAACATTTTCAAGTTAAAAAAGAACAAGAAAAAACAAATACAAAATGGATTAAAAACACAAACAACATAACAATATACTTTTACAGCTTTCTGTATCAGCAAATATTTCTGCTTTTGTGGTTTACAATTCTATTATTGCCTTCTCGTAGTTTTTAGCAATTCTAATGATAATGTGATGATTATATTATAATATAGTAGTATACGACTGCAACTAACTTTAAGCTACCAACTTGCTGTCTACAATCAAGGCCATCGGACAGGAGAGAAACCTAAATGTGTTGGTCTAATTACCTTTGATGTTTGAGCTTCTTCCACAAGCTTTACGATCTGGCAGAGGGTAGTGTCAGACCCAACATGGGTTGCCGAGATCAACAGGGATCCATTCTGATTAATCGAACCTGCTATGACTGAACTTCCAGGTTTTTTCATCACAGGCATTGCTTCACCTACATAGATCAGAAACAAAACAAAATAGAAGCTGCTCTTTGACAATTTCCCTCCCCCCAGCATGGAGTCTAGGGCCCATGAAAACCCATTCTGAGGGCAACAATGGAAAGGAAGAAGGATGAGGAGGGAAAGGAAAAAAGGGTAAAACCAGAGGAAGTAAGGGGGGCAGAATTAAGAGTAGGAGAGGGAAATATTGGAATGTGCAGAGATGGGTAGGCTCATGAAAGAATTAAAAGAGAAAGAAGAATCTGACTATTACTCCGTATGGGATTTATGATATAATTGGCTAAAGGAAAAGGGGGGGGGGAGCAGGAAAGCAAAAAAGAAAGAAAGATCAGCAAATTAAAAAAACAACTACAAAACCAGAAAATGATTAAAAGATAGAAATACAAAATAGACTGTAGCAAATAAATAATAGGAAATGGATGCAAAACAATTCAAATGTAATAAAGTTTATTATACATGGAATATATAGAATGTTATATATAGAATGAAGAAAAAAGATGTATGAAATAATATAAATGCACACATATATAAAGTTATAGCTATACAAGACTTATATGTACCGTGTTTTCCTGAAAATTAGACAGGGTCTTATTTTCTTTTGACCCTTGAAATAAGCACTTGGCCTTATTTTCAGGGAGGCCTTNAAAAAAAGGGGGGGGCGGGTGGAAGGAAGCAGAGCTTTGGGATGCTTCTAGTGTGTTCCTGGGGGCTGGGGTAGGAGCAAAAACAAGCAAAAAGCAGGCCTTTTTTCCTTGATTTTGCCCTCCCTAGCCCCCAGGAGCACTTTGCAGGCCTCCCAAACCCTCTGCACCTCCATTTTTGTGAAGGGGACGTTGTTTCAGTAGGCCAAAAATGCTGTATTCAGTGTATAAGACGCATCCAGATTTTCAACCTCTTTTTTGGGGCAAAAAAGATGCATCTTATACTCCGAAAAATACAGCAACTGCATTCTCATGACAGGAGTAGATACGCTCTCTGGATGCCTAAGCTCCCTGTCCCACCTGGCTTTAGTTTTTAAGGAATTTCTCTTTTTACTTAAAAAGTAAAATTAATACAATAGATAGAAACAAATAATGGGGATGGATATGCTCCTCCTTTCTTTCCAGAGGTGCAACTGGGTACCACATAAACAGGCACTGCAGGACTGGGAAAGGAAGAACTGGGTGATCTTGAAACTGGCCAGCCTATTATTGTCAACATGTTGTGAAAGAGTCCTTTTTATTTATCAGTTACATGCGTCACTGTCTTTTTCTCCCAGAGCACCAACCCAGGCAGACAGGCTGGGCTGAGACAGCGCAACTAGACTGGACACAAATCAGCCAGGAAGGTTGGGATGCACTTAATGCATGATTATTATTTTTTTTGCAACACCACACTGATTTGTCTTAAGAATTTTCCCAAACTCCAAATGTATCCCATGAGCCCAAAGGATGCCCTTCTCTGCCCAGGGCCCCTTGCTACCGTCGTAAGTGTGGATTGCAGAATGAAAAAAGGTCAGAGTCAATGTAGGAACATCAGGGTGCAAAAGGAAACTACAAACAGCAAGGAAAATGGACTTGCTCCTACATTCCTTTTGTTTTCCTTGAGTTTTGTCAGAAGATACTGAAATATGGAGAATTTCTGCATTCCCCCCAAAAAATCTATTATAACTAGGTGCTCTAAGATAGCTGAGAGGAGGCTACCAATCACCCTTCACCACATCTAATCATAAGACAGGGCATGCAGAGCAGAGCAAATCATGGGGATCCAAGTCATTTTCAGGGCAACCGGACACCGTAACCAGAAGGATGCTGTGCTTGACCCTGCGCCTTTCCCATCCGGCCTCCCCTAATGGCACCAAGAGTGATTTCCCTACAGTGGACTAAGATGACAAATCGGCTGCTCAAAGGGAAAAGAAACAGCCACTTGCTGCTCAGAAAGTTGTAGGGTTGATCTTTAAATCTGCTTTAAGGAAAATGCAGGTTGCATGAATGAGGCGCAGTCAGTGCAATACGACGTTGTAGGACCCTCTCGAGCAGTGCAGGATTATTCCTGCAGGGGGATCGTTACAAAAGTTGTGGAAATAATGTGGAATCCCCCATTCCCCACAAAACAAAAGCAAAAAAGCAAAAAGCAAAGCACTAATGTATTTACAGTAGGCACATTGGTTACCAATCCTTCCTGGAATGATCCTGTCATTGGCTGGATGAGCTTCTAGGTGACTGAATGGCCTGAAAACCAGGACTGGAGGGGAGCAGCAACACACCACCCACTTCAGTCTATTGCTCGCCTTGAAGCACAACCCATCTGCATGCGCTGCAACCCCCCCCCCCAATAAACCACTCCCGTTAAAGAAATTACATTACCCAGCATAATATGCCCCCACCCAAAGAAATCTTTCTCCTAAATAAACAGCTGTGGTTGTCTTCTCAAATCTGCCTGAAATCTAAGGAATAGCTTACCAGCTATGGAGGCATCAAAGCCCATGTCTTCAATTGAGTTTTTTAAATCGGCTGGAGAGGTTAGAGTTGGGTCATATTCAATAGTCCCATTTCGGTCCCGCAATGACACACAGACTGATTTCACACCAGGTTTCTGTGAAATGAGCCCCTCGATCGACTGCACGCACGAATGGCACGTCATTCCTCCGATGCGGATGACAGTCACCAGCATCAGGGGATGAGGCCCGATGTTCTGGACAGCTGCTGGAAGAGAAGACTTTGATGGGGATTTGGAGTTGTTCAGGTGCTCGGCCTTTTCGTGGGCATCCAAAACACAGACCTTGAAAGTCCCCGGGGAGACGGCCTCAATCGCCCTTCTGAGTGCACTGAGGCTGATGAGGGTGGGGTTATACTGGACGACGGCTGACTTCTCTTGCAAAGACACCGTGATGCGGCTCACCGAAGGAAGCGCCAAGAGGCTGTTCTGGATATTGAACACGCACGAATTGCAGTGCATGCCATCCACGTGGAAGGCGACAGTCTTCATGCTCAGCTCGCCTTCAGAACTTTCCCGCGGGGTCCTTTCCGAGCGTTTGGTTTGGCTGCTCTTGAGCCGCTCTATGTCAATAGAGCCGAGCTGGAGTGGTTTAGGCATTTTCTTTACAGAGGCGATGAATCCTGCTGCTTCAATTTGCTTCTTTATTTCTTCTGATGTAATGAGGTGAGGCTGGTAAGAGACCACAGCTTCCTGATTATCCAGGGAAACTGCAAGGCAAATGAAAAAGGATTGGTGTAATTCTCTCTTGGTATTCTGTAAAATGTTTATCCATGAAAAGACTTCCTGGAGGTTAATGGTCTAGTTAACCTGAGGAGCTGGAAATCAGGGGACTGAAAACCTAGCCCAGAGGCTGCTGTTTTCTGGCAGTGGGTGGTTCCGAGCAGAGATGTGAGAAAAAGAGGGTGGGAAATGTGCCATCTGTTCTCCTCCTCTTAGCAGCTCTCAGCATGCCACATCCCACCAACCAGCCAGCCACTTCTTTTCTGCTCCTCCCTCTCCATAGCCATCATTGAGAGCCTTGGGCAGTGCTTCTTAACCGTGGCAACTTTAAGACGGGAGGGATTTCAATTCAAAGATTTTCCCACCCAGAATGGCTAGCTGGGGAATTCTGGAGTTGAAGTCTTCACATCTTAAAGTTGCTAGAATTGGAAATGAATCTCTTTGGGGCTTTTGGTACTTGTTCATTCCGTGCCTGGAAAAAAACACAACAGCTGTTTCACTCTGGACATGGTTGAAAAAGCTTGGTGCAGTTTAGGCATGGACCACACCAAAGCCAATGGGGAACAGTTTGCCTGCTGATACTTCCAAACAGTCCAGAAGTATCTGTGAGTGTTCTGAGACGCCTTTCAAACAAGTAACGTCCAGAGTGCTTGACACAGGCAATTTCAGGGTTAGACTATTCAACAATGGAGTGTTTGGCACAGATTTACTTGGAAAGCATCCTCTTGTTCAGCTAGAAAAAGCCTGGAGGGAGACCCCCATCCTTCTGTTCTTGCTAGTCCTAATGACTTTCTAGAATGGGGGGGGGGGGAAATTACCGTATTTTTCAGAGTAAAAGATGCACCTCCCCACCCCCCAAAAAAGAGGGTGAAAATCTGGGTGTGTTTTATACACTGAATGTAGCCCCCACCCACCAGCCCCAACCTTTTGGCCTCTGCCTCCCAGCAATTTACCTCTTTGCAGAAAACGTGGGCTTACAGAGGCTTCAATAAGCTATAGCAATCCCTGCAGCCTGTCGGGAGAAACTGAAAGTTAAACTTGCTGTTTGCTCCATAAGGCAAATTGCTGGGAGATGGATTTTTTTTTCTTGTGCTAATCAGGCTGTTTGCTGCAAGNAGACAGGGTCTTATTTTCTTTTGACCCTTGAAATAAGCACTTGGCCTTATTTTCAGGGAGGCCTTGTTATTTTTGAGGTGCAGGAGGCAGTGAGCGTGGTCACCTCATAGCTGCTGCTGTGTTGCAATATTTTCAGGGAGGGCTTATTTTCAGGGGAGGGCTTATTTTTGCACATGCACTCAAAAGTCCAATTGGGCTTATTATCAGGGGAGGTCTTATTTTGGGGAAAACAGGGTACAGATAAAAGAATCACAACAGATATGTAAAAAAAGTGTAATGTGTTGCAAAGATGTGAAGTTTGCATAAACAAAATAAAAAGTTTTTTTTTTAAAAGAGTAGGAGAGAGAGTAAGGAGGAGGAGAAGAGAGGGGGAGAGCGGGAAAGAGAAGGGAAGAAGACAGGAGGAAGGAGAAGAAAAAAGAAGAAGACAGAGAAGGGAGGTTGAGAAGAGAGAAGGAGCAAGGTTGTTGCAAAATAAGATGGAGGCATGGGGTGGCAAAAAAGTGACCCAAACTGTACTCATTTGTAAGAAAATAACAATAACAATTAACGATGAATAGATAAATGTTAAAAGTAATTATAAGAGTGTATATTTGTGAATGAATTTGAAAGAGAAAAATAAAAAACTTTCTAAAAGAAAAAAGAAATCCCATTCCGGCTTGCCTGTGATGAGCGATTCGTCTACCATTGAGTGTCCTTCAATCACTCGGCCATCCACGGGAAACTTGCCACCTGGAACCACCTTCACGATGTCACCCCGCTGAACTAGTTCAACGTCCACTTGCTCTTCGCTGCAGAAGAAGCCAGAACATTCAAGACTCAACGATGGAAGCTACGTAGCAGTTCAGATTGTTAAATCCTGCACAACAGAATGCCCTTTTCTTTTAAACTCCTGTCCAAAGTCTTCTTCATCTGCAGGAGGTTGGAGTAATGTAAAGAAATCCCCAGCTGAAATTTGTTTTGGGTAGCTTATATATGCAAATTCATGTCAGATTGCTACTCTTGTCTCATTTACAAAGATTTATAATTGACACTGAACTGCATAGGCCGAATGTTACCTGGTCCAATATGGAAGTAAAGACTCCAAGGAAATATCAGGGGACGAAGCACTGCAGCATATAAATATTTCATTAAAAAGCCACCAGAGAACTGGAAATACCTCACGAGGATGTTATCTGGACCTAAAGTAACAATCGTTGCTTCTGTTGCTTGTAGTGAAATTAGCTTCGCGAGGGCCTCTGATGTTTTACCCTAAAAAGATTAAAAAGTGTTTTATGTTCAAAGCACCACAGAAATGCATTGCCAGCATCAAAATCACAGGTTAAGGAAGAGGTCTTTAACCATGAGAGTTTCCTCACAAGCTAGCAAGGAAAAAGAAAATCTAAGTTCCAAGGAAGGAATAATCTTTCCTTTCATTCAGCATTTGTTTTTAGAAGTGTGACATTTGTTTGAAATACATTTGCTTATTAACCGTTTGTAAAGCCAGACACTGATAGATTTAAAAAAACCTTTCATTAACGTGTAGGCCTCCAGGCTGAGCAAATTTGAGGGCTAAAGTTCCTGAGAAGGGGGCACCCAAGAGATGGCCAGATCCCTCACCTCCCTACTCTTCCCCCGTTTTCCTTCACTTGCTGCTTGATGGAAGCCCAATTGGGAGTCGCTTGAATGCACACAAATGCCACTCAGCTCCCTTCCAGGCCTTCTTCAAGAAGGCTGAAAGGCTGCAAGAGAGGGAGGCAGCCAGCTTTGTGGTGTGTGTGTGTGTGTGTGTGTGTGTGTAAACCTGCCATCCTGGGACCAACATTTGGGAAGCCAGGCTCTGCTGTCACAAGCCAGGACAAAGGGTGAGTGATGGAGGAGTAACACCTCCTTAAAAAACCTTGGTCCAGCTGGCTTGGCCAGTAGCACCTCCTAAGGACCCCTTTCCAGGGTTACAAGAGAAGACGGTCAATGCTTTTGAAGGTGGAAGGATTTTGTGCCCCAATGGCAGACAAAGCGGCAGAGCCATCTTCTAGGAGAAGGGAAACTCTGATGACAAACCTCCACTGCCTTGTGGCTCTATCAACTACTAGAAAAGGCTTCAGGAGTCAACCTTGATGCAAAATCCAGAGCCGGAGTCCCGAAAGCAGTTCGTGACTGCGTACAACCACATTCTGGTACCTCCTGCGATGCAACTAGAACCAATTGTATTGGCTCTGCCGTTCCATTGGACTATGTCAGCGATGTGGAAAGGGGGGGATCTGCTGCTTAAGTAACAATTTATCGTCCACATTAATCTACCCAGGTCTCGTGCTCTGGAGAGGACACTTCAGCTTTGACCTCTTCCCAGAGCATGATTCCATAGTCTTTTGAGACAGAAGGATGCCACTGCAATGCATGTGTGTATGTGTAGTACTATATTATTGTTACATATATTCTCGTCAATTGAAACATATGTTTTTAATAACACCCATTTTGTAGTTAAACACAAGTAGGTACAGAGCATGGCAGGTAACTTGAAAGCAGTTTCCCTCCACCGTCACCACCACCCTGAACCAGAACTCTTTTGCCCTGACCTTTGCCACATGTTCCAACCAGCGCCCCAATGCAATAAACACGAAGAGCATTGGTGGTGTGTCAAAAAAAGTCACTGGATTGACCACTGCCTGCTCGGCCATTGCAACCAGAAGAACTACAAAGGAGTAGACAAAGGCGATGGTCGTGGCCAGAACAATCAGCACGTCCATGTTGGCTGTTTTATGCTTCAGCGCTTTGTAGGCTTGAATGTAGAAGTGCCAGCCTCCGAAGAACTGCAAGAAGAGCAAATGTCAGCAGCACATCTACACCGAAACACAGAAAACAGGGAGCAAAACGCTCGCTCACTGCCAAATTTCAGGAGAAAATTCACAGGAGTTTCCCCCTTAGCATGGGCATCTCAAGAAGACAACCTCCCATCTCCCCTGGATTTGGCAGGCAAGCAGCAGGTTCCCAAGGGGCATCCAACAGAGCAACTAGGGAGTTCTAGGGAAACCTCTTTTTGTGCGGCTGCTCTGCCTCACTAGCAAAATTCAACAGGGTCTTCCTTATTCTCCATCTGCTCCTTGCTTCTTCCATCCTTTCCTTTACTTCCCCCCCACCCCAAGTTTGGTTTCGGAAGAAATTCAGAATAATTGTGAAATGCATTTTGTTTAGTGGTGCTAGAGGTATTTCACCAGGAAGAAAAGTCTCCCACTGAATGCCAAGGGAAAATGATACTGAAAATAACAAAACATTTGGACAGAAATGCTCAAAATAAAAACATTACTCTTGACTTTCTTCCAAAAGAATAGAAAAGAAAAACTATTTCAATAAATGAACCTCTAGGTTAGTCTTGTGGGGGGAGCAGTGAAAGAGTAGAGTCAAGTGTTAACTGTAAAGGACGATGACTACTGGACACTTGGCACTTTCTGGTGACAATCTACACAATCACATGCTCTACCTAAGCACTAAAGAGGTACTCTGAATTTTACTCTCCCAAAGAGACTTAATCAGTGTTTCACAATTACCATATTTTTTGGAGTATAAGACGCATCAGTGTATAAGATCCACCAAGATTTTGAAGAGGCAAATTAAAAAAAAGTTTTTGCACTCTGCAGACCTCCCCAAAACGGCACATTTTTTGTCAAAGAAAGGGCATACATAGCCTTTAGGAGGCTTATAGNAACTATAAATGCCTATAGAATGTTCAAATTATTAGACTTATTTAAATACTGCTTTATTATCAGTCTAAACAACTTAACAAAATGAAGAAGCTTTTTAAAATAAATGCTTGATTTGAAGAGGCCCAGTGCTATTGTTTTTAAAAATGCTATTCTTTTAAATAGCAGAAAATAACAATACTTCCAGAAAGCACATCACTTTTAACAGCATCTGTACAAGTATAGTCTGAAATATAACACTACACACTGGTGTGAGGCAGAAGCAGATATTTTTCCCTTGTTTTCCTCCCCAAAATCTAGATGTGTCTTATACTTCGGAGTGTCTTATACTCTGAAAAATAAGGTATTTCAAATGTGTATGGTCTCAGCATGGGTTCTGTTTCTTGGTTATATTTAAGAATACAAAAAGTTGGCTGTTATCTTTTAGAAATATTGTAGCTTTATGAATGGTGGCTTTATGAAGGACCCACAGGTGGATTTCTCCCTGAACAGAATTGTCATCCATATTTTGTACTTCTTGGAAGTTAACTTGCCTATTCAGGTTATACTGGAGAACTGATGAAAACGGTTTAAAAGGACAAAAGCTCCCAAAGTGCTCTATTTTTAATTACCTTTAATTCGCTTGACCCCTTGCAGCTTGCCAATCTTTCCTTCAATGGTGCTCGTACAGGAATGGCACGTCATCCCCTCTATTTTCAATCTCAGCACCACGTCATTTATTTGGTTTAAACTTACATCTTCAAATGTTCCTTGATTTTCATCTTGTAATGCATTATCCGAATTTAATCCCGGTACTATTTGATTAATCTGTTTGCTATTTAGAATAGAAGAGATAAAGGTTACGACTAGAGTTGTTTTGTCAGAAGAGATTTTCACATCCAGGATGCCTTTGATCTTTAGGAGGTCGGTACGAATCTGTTCACAGGTTAGAGCTGCCTGGGTGGGGATCATAAGAAAAGTGGTGTCATGTGGAACGGACTGTGAGTTGGTGTTGCCAAGAACAGCATCAAACCCCATGTCTTCAATGGCTTCCTGGAGCGACTGTGGGGTTTGTTCTTTGGGGTTGTAAACAATGGTGGCGCTCTTCTCATCCAGGGAAACCTTGCAGAGGAAGAGAAAAGGTAAGTGAACCAAGCAAGATTAAGATGGTATTAAACTGGCATTAACACGTCAACAGCTTTGGCTTATTACACTGACACCCTGAATGGCAGCTTCCCTCACCTGAGAAGGGAATGCAAGGTGGTAACTATGAAACCATAAATTAAGTCGGATTTATTTGTAAGACAAGACGACTAGCTACAGAGTTGAGCCACAATAAAAGCAGCAAAACTATTTCAGAAATCTCTCATACAATACAGGATACATTTCTCACATGAACTTTCTACAGCACCTTAAGTATACATTACAATCGATATACGATAGTGACAGATAAAGATTACCCTAATCTTCAACTGTCATGCCCAGAAAGTTAAATAGCTGGCTGATATGGAACATGACGTTACACTTAATGCTACATTGACTTAGGGTGAGCTGTGATAAAGGCCATAGGTTGGGATGAACAGAGCAACCCCCCACTCCTGAATTTTTAAAAGTATTCTGTGGCATATAACTGATGAGTATTTAACTAGGAAAATGGGCTTTGAAATTCCACACACATTGAAGAAAAGGAAAGTGAACTTTAAGGGAAGGAGTGGCAGAATCTGGGAGCGGAGTTAAAGAGAGATAACCAGGTAGCCACAAGGGGACTAAGTCCAATACCCCACCCCCAAATTCTTTTGACCCATATCTACTCCAAACGGGGGCTAAGTTAGTTGAGAATATCCTTGGGCATCAGTTAAATTAGGCCTTCGCGTGTGGACCTGATTTTTCATGCCTGACACAAACTCCCATGTTGTTTACTGCTAGTGTGTTAAGGATAAGTTTAATGCTAATTAAATTCATATTTTAATAAAAAGTTACAAACGCACCGTAAATAAAGAACTAAACACTGTCAGGATGGAATGGCAAGTCAGAAATATGCTGTACATGCAAAAAATGGAAAAGGGAAATGGTGATCAAGCCCACAGGAGAAACTGAAGGAGCTACCCAAATAGCTTGACTTATTATTCTGGAATCTGAAGAGTTCCCTTCAGGTGGATCCCATGTCAAGTGTCCAAAGGCAAAAGAATCCGGGCCAGGGAAGTGGATAATCAAAGTCCTGCATAGCTTCCCTTGATGGGCTCCTCCCAAAACAACCTTATTATTACTCTGATTATTTTCTTCCATGAACCCATAGCAAAAGAGACTTTGACAGTTTGGATTTTAAGCAGAGAACAATAGTTCCCAACCTGTAGTCCAGAGACCACAGGTGTACTAGGAAGGTGCAGCAGGCGGTCTGGATACTTAAAATCAAAATGTTTTTCAAAGGACCTCAATCTCTTGACAAATCGCAGAACACCTTGGCATTCCCACCCAAACTCTTGCGACATTTGGTAATTTCAAAATATTGGAGCTATTTTAGAAACTTAAATGAAGGTTAATTTGTTATAGATACTGTAAGGCGGGGTGTCCAAACTTGGGTGTCCAAACTTGGGAACTTTAAGACTTGTGGACTTCAACTTCCAGAATTCTCCAGCCAGCTATGAATTCTGGGAGATGAAGTCCATAAGTATTAAAGTAAGTCTCCCCAGCATAGCTGGCTGGGGAATTCTGGGAGTTGAAGTCCACAAGTCTTAAAGTTCCCAAGTTTGGACACCCCTGCTGTAAGGGAATAACACATGCCAAGGCACACATACAAGCTCTAGTCTAGGTTCCATGAGGGACGTATGACAGGATACAGGCATCCACAATACAAGTTTGGACTCTAATTGCTGGATTGCTGGGCTATAAATCCAGCAGACCAAAAATTTCCATGTAACATCTCAAGGTTCCCGTCATACCAGTGATTTCTCCATCCAAGAAAAAGCCTCTTAATCTCTCTCTCCTGGGTGGAAGGCCTGGCTGGGATTAAAACTGATGTGCTGTTCCTGAGAGCCTCTTCTAGCAGAACAAGCACCTCTACTCATCTTAGCCTCTTTACTTATGTAAAATACGCAGCATAGATAAGTAGGAATAGGCTCCGATTCTTTGCCCAAAAAAGTCAGAGTTCCACTGAGATACCAAGATTGCAACAAGTGGGAGGAACTTCTTTGAACCTTTACCCCTCACAGATTTACAAATGTCAGGAACTTTCTCATAATACCTAAAATTTGATTTGTTTTCCAGGACATATCCTGTTGCTTCAATTTCTAAAAGGGCAAATGGACATTACTGAAAAGCCCATTGAATTAACGGCAAATTTTCCATTTGCCATAGGCAAAATGCAGGCTAGGAGCCCCCCCCCCGCTGTAATTAAATTACACAAAGGTAATCATTTTAAAATATTGTGGTTTCTTTCTTCCGCCTTTGGCTATAGTATCAAGGATTGATTTACTGCCAATTGTATGGAAGATAACCAAATTCAGGCTGTCTGAATTGCACATCCCTCCCCCAGCCCCCTCTTTAAGAATACTGAATCTAAAACCTATCAAGATTATTCTGCTAAGTTGCGTGGAAAAGCAGTCCTCCACTGCTGCGCCCCATCTAGCCTCTGACCTGTAATAAAAGCAAAATTACTTACTTTAATGACGTGAACGCCATTTAGTTCCCCAATATGCTGCTCAATTGTCTGCACGCAAGAACTGCATGTCATTCCCTCCACCTGAACCACAATTGATCTGGCCCCTGATGATGGATCCATTCTTTTATCCTCTTGCATTCCTGAAAGAAAAAGATAATGGCACAAATCAAACAAAGACACAAATCAGATGCCCCATTTATACGGAAATGACAGCACACCTACAAGAAAAGATCCAGGAACAATGGAGACCAGGTATTAGGTCAGACATCAATTCTTTGCCTGGCTTGATTCACTATTGGAAAATGAAAAGAAAAGGGGGCTGCTTTGAGCTGCTTGGAGCACAGAAAGAGGCAGAACAGAAATGAAATGAATATATAAGTAAGCAAAGCAAAGGGTGTGGCAAGGGGCGTGTAAACTACACCATCTACTGTATTTCCAAAAGCAAAGCATTACAAATGCTAATGAGAAGTGGGGTTGCTCAAAAGAAACAACTGGAACAGATACAAGGCTGACAAGTTTATTTTCACTGGCATGTGGAAAAGCCTTCAGAGGAGTGACCCAAATAACAAAAGTGGAGTATGCAATTACTCCATATGACTAAACCCTTGTTTACATTGTCAAAGTGACAGTACTCGATCATCCAGAATGTGCAGAGATTTTTATCCATCTTTTCCTGAGTAGAGTTTCCCTGTAATCTGTAGAACTGAAGGCCGATCTACCCCCGTGCTTATTGATCAACCAAATAATTAAGGATCCTAGCTAGCATAGCGTGTGCTTGATGTGCATTATCTGTCTGGGTATATTTCACTGCAACCACTTTAGAAACCAACACTCTGGAAGTCACAATCTGGAATGACTAAAACCAGATCCATAACTAAATGAGAATGTGATATTAGGGCACACTTTCAATACCTCTCCATTAGGAAGCAGATAAAGATACCCCAACTTTCCTTTTGCTATCACAAAAAGTAGTCAGGAGCATCAAGAGGTATTCTCTCCAAAAACCCCAAATAGGGTTCTCATTCACTAAATAAGGAATGAACATTACCTTGATATTTAATAGTACAGGGTACGTTATAAAATTACTGGAATCAAGTTTCCTACTAATCTATGGCTGGTTACTAAAATTAGCTTGGGTATTAGTATTACACCCCAAACTCTACCAGAAATACAGAAATTATAGCAGAAAAAAAGGGATTCATATTCTGGATTGATTAGCCATTTCAATAATGATCTCAAAAACTGTCTGTGTCTTTCAATGTTAACCTTTCACAATTAACTACAAGGACAAGGTTTCTTAAGCGTTTCCCCTTCATCTGCTGTTTAGAGTTTACCGAGTACAAAAGCATCTGTTATTGCATAACAATGACTCTAAACATTTTTAAGCGGTATTTTAAAAGCAATTAAAGATTTAGAATTTCAGGTGGCAATTAAGTAGCAGGTGCAAATGAAGCTTTAATAAAGGAAGTTTCCACATAAATAAACCTAACTGGGGAAAATAAATCCAGCTAAAATGCACCGTGGCATTTTCATGCCATTTTCATGACAAACATGAATCTGATATTAAAGCGCAGGCATATCATTTCACACCCGTTACCTTTCAGGCGCAAAGAAAAAAAATTAAAAGGCAGGAGATAGAAAAAAAGAAAATTCAGTTACATCAGCACTAGTTATTAAATTCCTCAATACCTCTCTATCTTGCATAGCAATCTTGCTTTTACTATACGTTACCTGATAATTTTATTGTTCAAACGTCTCATCTCTCCAGCAAAACCACTTTTCTTGGTCTTCATTTTGTTCCTCATTATTTTTCTTTCTATGATCAAACTATCCCAACATGCTTATTTCATACAAACACTTGCTTTTGTATTCCTTATTCCCTTAGCACTCATATTCCTCTGTTCTCACCTTTATTTTCTGTTTCTTCTGGATTTGGTTTGTGCAGGTTATATTCAAAACAAGGAGAGCCAGGTGTTAAGGGTGACACGCTGACCTGGCCCTGCTCAGAACCCTCTTTTGGCCCAGCCAAGAAGAATTCTTCTGAAGAGGACAAGAAGCAGAGGGAGGGCTGAAATGAAAGGTGGATATAAATCAAATACACGTAGCTCTTGCTTAAGTCAAAGTAATTGGGACAGGCATTAAGTGATGTGGTACTAAAGTTTGATTTCATATGACCACGCTACTGAGTGCCAGCAGTCGCTGTTGCCATTATGAAGTGAGGACCTCACAGGTCATTAAGCAAAGGCCTTGCCTGACTTCCGACGCCCTCGCTGATTATGCTTGTGGGACACTGGCAGGGAAGCCTGTCAATCATGATCACGTGACTGTGAGATGCGGTGACAGTTGGATACCTGGGCTGGTTGCCAAGTGATCACGAAGGCAGTGGTGCTGGGACAACTGGAATTTCAGGCATTGTGTTTTAACTACCTCTCATTAACCATTATTACAGGTTTGGTTCCTAAAATGCGATGTTAAATGAGGACCACCTGTAAATAAATTGCTTTTATGAGATGGTTGGAAGAAACACCATTTGGGTAGGTTCTACTGCCCATCTGAAGTGGGAAATGGAAGTCGTATAGACTTGTGGATTCTCCAGCTGGCTGAAGAATTCTGGGAGTTAAAGTCCACAAGTCTTAAAGTTACCAAGTTTGAAGACCTCTGGTATAGACAAGTCTTTGACTTGCAACCATTTGTTTAGTGATTGTTTGAAGTTATAACAGCAATGAAAAAAGGGACCGATGACCAGTTTTCCTACCTACAACCATTGCCACAAATTTGGACGCTTTTGCTAACTGTATTTACGACAGTTATTTACGTGTATTTACGATAGTTACAGTGGGGGTGGGGGTGTCACGTGCTCGTCTTTTGTGACCTTCTGACAAAGTCAATGAAGAAGCCAGGTTCACTTTACAACCATGTTACTAACTTAGCAACTGCAATGACTCACTGAACAATTTTGGCAAGAAAGGTCACAAAATAGGGCAAAACTCAGTTAACAACCATTTTGCTTAGCATAGGAAATTTTGCCATTTTAATTGCAATCATATGTGGACAATTGACCGTATTTTTTGGAGTATAAGATGCACCTTAATTTTTGGGAAGGAAAACAGGAAAAAAAGTTTCCGCCTCTGCCTACCAGCATCCATCGGTATTAATCTGGCTAGTGTCCTTGCAGAAAACGGCCTGGTCAGCTTCAGCATGTTCTTGCAGCCTGATTCAGCAGGAGCAGCTGATTGGCTGGGAATGGGAGATGGATCTGGCCAGGAGGAACACACAGGAGGAAAAAGAGTGTTTCAGGCAGTGGGCGGTTCCAGGCTACAGGGATCGCAGCACAGTCTGGAACTGCCCGCCACTTGAAACACTCTTTTTCCTCCCAGATTGCAAAAATGGGACATGCATTCCTCCTGGCCAGATCTGTCTCCCAGGCCAGGAGCAGAAGCCAACCGCACTCCGCCTGGGTTGTCTGGAGAAGCGGGAAGCCGAGCACTGACCCACTGCCTCTTGTGCAGTGCCCACTTCACCTGCCCCTTCTCCAGACGACCCAGGCGGCTATATTTGGAGCTTAAGACATACCCAGATTTTCACCTTCTTTTTGGGGGGGGAAAAGGTGTGTCTTATACTCCGGAAAATACAGTACTTATACATTTTCTCCAACTGGCAACATAGCACCAGATCTTTTGTTTTCAGTTGCACTCAAGAGAAATCTCTTGGCAGCTTTAAGTCCAATGTGGACTTCAAGAATTACCCTTCCCGTTTGCCTTAAAATTTTGGGCTTTGACTCCCAGAATTCCCCAGCGAGGTTCCTGGGAGCTAAAGACAGCATACCATAAAGTTGTCGAGGTTCAGAGACATCACTCTAGACAGAGCCAGGCTCCTTTTTAAAAAGTTTAAAAGGACTGGGGAGCTGATAAAAACAAAGGCAGGCTAGAGATAAAATTGTAAGAATTGTTCAAGTATTTCCATTAGGCACAACTTAATTATACATAATTCACTAAACGTAACTAGGGACCATGCACTTATTTTCAGAACACTCTGGAGAAAAGAGATCACAATTTTCACCAAAGAGTCAAATCTAATCAAATAACATGGGGAATAAATCAGATTTTCTTCAATTTAGACCTGCACAAACAATATTCCAGCGAAGACACCCTGTTTTGCTTCCTGTTTTGCTGTCATCCTAGAATCATATTCAGCTAAAGGTAAAGGTTCCCCTTGCACATACGTGCTAGTCGTTCCTGACTCTAGGGGGCGGTGCTCATCTCTGTTACAAAGCCGAACAGCCAGCGCTGTCCAAAGATGTCTCCGTGGTCATGTGGCTGGCATGACTAAACACCGAAGGGCGCATGGAACGCTGTTATCTTCCCACCAAAGATGGTCCCTATTTTTCTACTTGTATTTTTACGTGCTTTTGAACTGCTAAGTTGGCAGAAGCTGGGACAAGTAACAGGAGCTCAGACCATTACGTGGAGCTAGGGATTCAAACTGCCGACCATTCGGACCAATAAGCCCTTAGGGAGGGAAATGGCGGCGCTGCGTTGAAGACATTGAAGACACCGTTTTCGGCATTTTATGGCCCTAGTCCTGTTTTCCTTGTCAACTGGGAGGAGCACCCGGTGCTCATCGGACTGCTCGAGGACTATTGTTACCAAAGAGGAGGTGGGTGATTTGAACGACGCTGGACGAGACAAGGCAGCTGGCATATTCCCCGCTGCCGTACTCTCTTTAGGCGCCCCCCCTCCCTCTGCTCAGCAGTTTACATTGCTTGGTGTTCCTGGCATTTTTTGACATTCTTGCCCCCGCTTTTTGGAATCCTTTGGACTCTGCTGACCCGTTTCAGAGAGGGGGTAGTCAGTTTGATATGGTGCTGTATAAGGCCAGGCAGCTGGCCTCGCGGCCGCTGCCACAGCCCTTTAGACTCCCCGCCTCCTCCATCTTATTTGACTCGGCCTTTCCCTCTGGTGCGGCCTCTCCTTCTCTGTTGGGCCTCTGTTTGCCCTCACCCATACGGGTTTTTTGTCATCTGGCTTCCCTGCTCTCGACTGCTGGATGTTGGATTTGCGATCTGGTCCCATTTGGTATAACCATTGCCGCCCGTCGATGCCAAGGGACGCCATCTCAGCCCCCTATGACTTTCTTGGACCCCTCCATTTCTACACCATTTATCGCACAAGGAAGGGGGGAGACGAACTTTCTTTCTCCCTCTATACCTCCGCTAACTTCCATCGGACTGGACTTTTGTGAATCCACCTACAAACTTTATACGAACTTGCACATTTTCTAACAG